TTCAAGATAACATCACCGTGTTCTGTTTGTAAGAGTGAAGCACATAGCTATCGCTAAATGTCCTATCTTTGCAGAAAAGCCCATGGATGACAAAAAAGGGGCATATTTTCATATTGTTTTGGATTTCAAAGAAGATATTTGCAAAGACTACAAAAAGACAGCATTTTTGTGGCACATGTGGTCTGCGCCATCCAACTTGCACAAAGATAAAGACAAAGGACCTGTGAAGGTATCAAGAATAGATTTTACTCCTACAGAAGTGCACACAAATCAAGAAGTTCAAAAGGTTATGTCTCATGCAGTAGCACAACGTGCCTCTGCTACCTCTAGTATAGTTCCTGTCTTTATTTCAGCAGTGGAGGAGCCACAAAATGAGATTCTTACCTATGCTTTACTTGATACACAATCACAGAGTGACGCAACTTTTATTTTGAAAGATTTTTCTTGATGAGCAAGCAGTGAAGCTGAGACCACAGATACAGTCACTTAAAGTAATAAGGTTAATAGCCTGCGAGTTTGAGGACTCCAAGGTGGAAAATGTATCCAAGTACAGCAAGCCAATACATGTTATTCCTGTGGACAAAGCTCATATTCCAACCAGAAAAACTGCATTACAGAGGCCTCACCTTAAGCACATAGCCAATGAGTTGCCACCACTCCAGAGCTGTGATATGTAGATTGGATATAATTGTCCGTCAGCTTTGGATCCCTTAGAGGTCATTATCAGCAATGAAAATGAGCCTTTTGCAGAGAAAACAGAGCTGGGCTGTTTGTGATCCCCACCTGGATAGACAAGGAAGTCAAAGTTTCGTTCATCGAGTCTCAGTGAAAGAGATGTCAGTTCCATCAGCAAATTATGTTTTAAAGCTATTAGAGTCAGATTTTAATGAGAAGGGTTACGGGGACAAATATGTGTCCCAGGACGATGTCTGCTTTATACGCCTTCTTAGTGATAATAACATCAAAAATAAAAAGATGGACGTTTTCTATTGTCCCTTCCTTTCAAGAGCAGCAGTCCTCCTTCACTTCCTAAGAAGCTGAAGTCAAACCAACAGTGTTATGATAAGGATAAGGCCTTTATGGAAGAAATGTTCAGCAAGGGAGATGCAGAGATAGCTCCTTTAATATCTGATGGAGATGGTGTTTATCACCCTCACAAGCCAGACAAGTTGAGGGTTTGATTGCTCTGCAAAATTTTGTGGCATTTCTCTTAAAGGGATAGTTCACTTAGGGCTGGGCGATATAGCTAAAAAATTCATCAACGATATAATGTTTCATATCGTTCGGTATCGATAATTATCCACTGTTTTTTTAAACTAACCCATTTTATTGAGACAAACAACAAATATTTTTTTGTTTTAACAGTCAAACACACAATAAAAATTAAACAAATATCTAATTTCTAATTTTTTATATGCAGATTAAATAGGTTTTAAGGAAACTTTTGTCTTGTCTCCCAAGGCCACAGGAGGGCGCAATGAGCAAAATAATGCAGCACATAATGTCAACGCAAGGAAATAACTGTCTATAAAAAAAACTTGCATTACGTCTAAATTAACTCATATAAATCGAATATAATTTAGTAAATTGCATAAACAATTATGAACAAAACAGTATCATGTATTTATGCATTGCTTAATACAAAGGGCCGAATCGATCGCCCATCACGCAGATTGCATTTAAAAACATATGAGATGCAGTGAAAAGGAATAAACCTCCACAAATTCGCAATGTGTTTTCTAAAAGTTTAAACTGTTTTAACTTTTTATGGCTACATCTCTTGTGTGAGACGCGAGTGCAGCAGTCATATTTGTCTGTCTAAAAAAATGCGCTGAATATGCGTTCTGTGTGAATGGCTTGGTTTCGGTTTCGGCACAGCACTCATTTCAGCATGTGTTAGTGTTTGTGTGTGCTGTCTGCGTCACTCATAGCACGTGCCTATATCGTGCACTATATCGAACATTTTTTATATCGTTATAGAAGAAGGTGTACCGTCGATAAATATCGATACCGTTTTATCGCCCAAGCCTAAGTTCACCCAATAATGAAAATTACCCCATGATTTGTTCACCCTCAAGCCATCTTAGGTGTATATGACTTTCTTCTTTCAGACGAATCCAATTGGAGTTATATTAAAAAATGTCCTGGCTCTTCCAAGCTTTATAATGGCAGTGAATGGGTGTTTTTGGCTCCAGGGGTGAATATAGGCCTCCTGTAGCGAATCGATGCATTTTTGTAAGAAAAAAAATCCATATTTAAAGTTTTATAAACAGTAATCTCTAGCTTCCGCTAACTGTTGAACACGCCTTTACGGCGTTTTTTTTTTTTTTACTGTGGTTACTTGAAATCATTGTTGTTTTAGTGTCATTGATATTGATAACCCCTAGATTATAGTTTTTGTCAATATTTTTAATACATTTTTATTTTTATATTTTCATTTTAAAGTTTTAGTAATTTTGTTGTGTTTTTGTCATTTTTATTTTTTTTTAAATATGCCTATAATTCTTATTTAATTTAGTTTTAAATTGATTAGTGATGCCTTAAAATAAGATTTTTAGATTTTATTTTACTACAATGAATCAGTAAGAAATTAGTAAAATGGCTTCAGAGGTGAGGAAGAATAATAGGTATGGGATAAAATATGGGTTTTATTTACTAAATGCCTGCAGTGCATTGTGTATGTTGAATATAATAACAGTTTTTGCGAGTATAACGTTTTTTTTCTCCATGCATTAAGGCAGACTGAAGTTTTGAAGCTTAAAAAAGGACAAAAGCACCATAAAAATAGGCCCTACAGCTTATACTAACGCTATAATTCAGCTGGAAAGAATACCACACAGAGAAAGCGTGTCAGCCCATTAAACCAGTCATGCTTTTCTCAATGATAATGTAATCTGATCGTCCATGTAAAGAATTGCATTTCTCCCACTTAGAGTTGCACTTGGTGACCATTACTGTGGCAACTTGTTTTGGTGACTAGTGTACATCTGCGGAAAAAAGCAAACGGCAAACTGTCAAGCTTTCAGCATGGAGTTTTGTTATTTCTCTTCAGTTTTCTTCAGTGTCAAACTCAGTCAGAACATATAATATTGATTATATGAAGCTGTGTAATAAGAGACCATTACCAATCACAGTCCAAGGAGAGAAGTGAAAAACTCCTTTAAGGTAAAAGTATCTGAAACATGCAAGCAGCTCAAGTCAATTGTAATTGTAATATATCTGTTTTATCAATATTGTTTTATATATTATGTTAAAAATCTTTAAAAGAGTTTATTTCTTAGTATGTGTTAAAGTAGCTGTTTTGTTTGAAAAAACTCATATTCATCAAATGTACTTTTTATGCTAAATAAATAAATAAATAATTACTTTTGTTAGCAGAAATGCTGTGCACACGAGAAGAGAAAGTCCACCCAAAGGATATCAGCAACATCCAATTAGGAAATCTGACAACTTTATTCTTAAAATTTGAAAAGGTGAGATGTGTGTGTGTGTGTGTGTGTGTGTGTGTGTGTGTGTTTCTTTTTACATATTTTTATTAAATATAATTAAATATTAAATATATGTTTGCATACATTTGTGTGTGTGTATGAAAATATATTTAAGTTACAATGGGAACTTGCAAAATTAAAACAATCTGTGAAACAGCAAAAAAGTTAACATGCGATACAAAAATATCAAGCCATTTTGGCCAACAGAAATTATGATTAATCACATGTATAAAATTACAACATATAAAACGTGTGACAACCTGCCCCGACCTTACATTTTTGTAAAACACTCTCATCTTAAGAACACAGCTTTATGTTTAATTTCAAGACTGCCTTCATTATATACAGTATAGTGTTTCTTGCATGAGTTTATGTCAGTGTCATTTTTTTGTGTTGACATGTTTATCCAGCAAGCAAAAATATTATGATTTTATAATTTTAGATACTGTATTTAAAATAATGTTTTTTTTAACCATGGTTACCTGAAATCAGTGTAATTTTAGTATCATTGATATACTATTATAGTTTTATCATTATTTTGAATTAGATGATATTTTTATTTAAATTTTCTGTTTTCTTTTAAATGTACGTTTTTTTTAATTTGTTGTGTTTTTCTGTCATTTTTATTTTTATTTTTTGTAAAAATATTTCTGCAGTTCTTATTCATTTTTATTTAGTTTTTAAATAAGTGATGACTTAGCAACTAGCTGAAATAAAATTAGATTGTTATATTTTATTTCAGTTAACATTTATTTTATTTCAAGTATGACATTTTTTTAATGGTTTAATTTTAGTTTTAGTTAACGATAATATCCCTGCTTGTAATATGAATAAACTTAAAACATAATAAACTTTGAAAATAAATTTGAACTGAAATAAAAAAACGTAATCTTCTTTTATTTTAGCTAGTCGCCAAGGGAATATTTTTCATTTTCATTTAGTTTAAATTGATGTACTAAAATTAGCGTTGCAAAGGGGTGGAAAATTTCCGGTAAATTTCTGTAAACTTTCCAAAAATTCCTGGAATATTCAAAAAAATCCTGGAAAGTTTCCAAAATTTCTGGAATATGTCCGAAATTTACTGGAAATGTTCCACCTTTTTGCAACCCTAACTAAAATAAGTAAAACTAAAACAAAAACTATATAGACAAAAAAAAAGCACACAAATAAAAATGACAAAAACAGTCAACTTTAACTAAAAATAAAATGAAAACAGAAAATATTAAATATGAATAAATATTAATACAAACTATAGTAGTATCAGTGATACTCAGTGAAGTTGTTTTCACAGCACAACTCATGATCTGATCTCTGTAAATGAGGCTTGCAGTCTCTGCTCCAGATTCCTGCAATGCTTCCGTCTCTGTGTCTGACATCACCACTGCAGCAGTGCAGTTTTTCAGCGCAGCAGCAAATGCATTGTAGCCCATCCTGTCCGTGCCCATGCCCTCCCTCTCTCCCCGTCCCGTGCATCTGCGCTTCTCATTCACGCTGACTGTGTCTGACACGAGCATGGATGAGGCAGCGGAGGAGCCGACCCTGGTGCAAATGCTCGCTGTGAGCGCCGTTAAAAGTCGATATCTGTCTCTGTCTCCCTCCTTCCAGCGCTGCTCGCTCGCCTCCTGGATTAAAGAAAACATCAAGAAGAAAGAGTGCTGCTTCTATGTGGAGGATGGCAGGTATGAGGAGCATGTTTAGATGATCTTTCATACTGGGGAATTAACCCTATAAAGCCTGCTGTATCATATTTGATATGATCAAAGTTTGCTGAAAAACTTCACAATCTGCTCCATGCCTTCTGTCGTCTGATTGATAGTTTAGACTTTTTTAGCAAGTAAAAGCCTTTTAGTGTAATTGTACAAACGTCCAGCTTCAGCTCGTGCATCACGTGTGTCTTCACTGATTTTTATCAAGTAAACATAAGAATAACAGTTATATTTCCAGATGAACACTTACTGGACTGAAGTAATTTTTTACTTGATTATCCATCGTGTTTTAGAAAAATACTGTGAGTCTCAGATACGATCATAAGGCTTTTGAGGAACATTTATTTATTCATCTCTCAGTCATCATTGTATTGCATTGCATTATTGTACAAATGTCCACTTTCAGCTTGTGCTTCATGTGTCTTTTTGCTGTCAAATCTTTATTGTTTTTTATCAAGTAAACTTAAGAATAACTTTTATTAGTATTTCAAGATGAACACTTACTGGACTCAAGCAACTTAGGTTTGCTTGATTATTTTTGAGAAAAATCATGATTAATATATATAATTTTATATTATTTGATATATAATATAAAAATATGATCATCAGGCTTTTGAGGAACGTTTATTTGTTTGTCTTTCAATCATCATTGTATTGCATTGCATTATATGTTTTGCTCATCAAACTAAGTATTTAAATCTCATCTTACTAATACTATTGGAGATATAGAGTGACGACTGATATTTATATAATTTTATGTAAGTATCTGCTGTACTGTTATAAAGATCTCGATGACATTACAAGCATCAGAATTTCATCCCTTTTTGTCCATATAAATATCAGCATCTGCATTACATATTTTTGCTCAGTTTGGAATAAAAAAAAAATTCATCCTCGAGTTTGAGATCCATGTTCTCACTATATCATATTATATGAGTCATAAACCCTGGTGTATCAAATATAATACAACATAATATTATATATATATATATATAATATATAATATTATATAATATTATATTTAATAATATTTTGTCTAAACTACAAAATTCAAATATATGAATTTTAATATTTTGTCTAAACTCTTCATTTTTAATTTTTAAGATTTTTCTGACTGTTATTTCATATGTCAGGTTTTACAGGGTTTAATTTAGTTTTGTTTTTACAGAAACTTTTGCAAGTTTTTTTTTTTTTTAATTTATAATAATAACAATTTACTCATCCAAACCTGTATGACTTTTTGACCTAAAAGATGTTTTGCAGAATATCTGAGCTGCTGTTTTCCCATGCAGTGAAATTGGAGGGGGATTTTTATTGTTGAGCTCCAAAATTATGCATAAAATTATCCTGACTTTTGCATTGAATATATTTAGCTGAACTATTCTTTTAAAAGTTATTCTGTGTGTTTAAAATATGAAGTTTTAATTAAAGGTGTCAATCATGCACTGTAAATACTGTAAATAGAACGATTATTGAAGTACGTTTTACAAGAAAATAATATTTGTCTTTTTATGTTTAATTCAATGTGTTACTTTCATTCCTTTGTAATTATTTGTGAAATTTACTAGCAATTTCTCAGTGAAAATCGTTTCAAATTTAATCCAACACCAGATGTTTTCAGTGTATGCAACTTCACTTTACATCAATATGACACACAGAAATGGTCCCGTTGACAAGCGGTAAACTAAAGATCACGTGTATACACTCCTGTTGGCTTCTGTGTGTAGTTCAGCAACATTCGGACAATATGTGTGCTGCGCGTGTTGTTGGGCTGTAACTCATGTGTGGATAACATGGATTACTGTTGGCAGGGAGGGGATTTGTAAGTGTGGTCACCCAAAGATCCAGCACTGCGATGAGGCCATCAAACCGGAGGACTATATGGGGGAGCAGTGGGACAGACACAGACACGTCAGAGAGGTGCCCACCGATGCCTTTGGAGATATCAGCTTTGGGGGACTTGGACAGAAAACCGGAAAGGTCAAATTTGATTCAAGCAGACCTCCTGTGTGTTATAGATGTTTGAAGTATATTATTTCACCCCAAAATGAAAATGTGCTGATGATTTACTCACCCTCAGGCCATCCAAGATTAGGATGAGTTTGTTTCTTCATCAGATTTGGAGAAATGTAGCATTGCATCACTTGCTCACCATTGGAGTGAATGGGTGCCGTCAGAATGAGAGTCCAAACAGCTGATAAAAACATCACAATAATCCACAAGTAATCCACACCACTCCAGTCCATCAGTTAACATCTGGAGAAGACAAAAGCTGCATGTTTGTAAAAGAAACAAATCCATCATTAAGACGTTTTAACACTAGGAAATGTGACTTCCAGCTACAATATGAGTTCATAATTCATAATAATGCTTCCTCCAGTGAAAAAGTGCATCTTCTGTTGTCTCTCGCATCAAAATCCAGCCACATATTTGTTTAGAGCTGTTTTGGACTATTTAAACGGTGCTTGATCTGTGCAGATTTCTCTCCTGATTGAGCGTTATTATGGATTATAGACACATATTGAAATGACGGTTTGAAGTTAAAAATGTCTTAATGATGGATTTGTTTCAGCTTTTGTCTTCTCCAGATGTTAACTGATGGACTGGAGTGGTGTGGGTTACTTGTGGATTATTGTGATGTTTTTATCAGCTGTTTGGACTCTCATTCTGACGGCACCCATTCACTGCAGAGGATCTAGAATTATTATTTTCTTCTGTCGTGTGTGATTAGTATGTTCGGGTGTCGTCGGACACGTCCTGTGAGAGTCTGTACCAGCTGATGACAGAACACTGGAAACTGCGTTCGCCGAACCTGCTGATATCAGTGACTGGCGGAGCCAAAAACTTCTACATAAAGACTCACCTGAAGGACAAGTTCCGTCGAGGCCTCATCAAAGTCGCCCAGACCACAGGTACAGCAGCCTGCATAAGTGCCCAATGTAAACTCAATTACCACATAGCTCTAGATATAAAGGTCTAAAGCAGCATAAATCAGCATATTAGAATGATTTCTGAAGATCATGTGACACTGAAGACTGGAGTCATGATGCTGAAAATTCAGCTTTGATCACAGAAATAAATTACATTTTAAAATATATTCACATAGAAAACATAGCATTTTAAATTGTAATGATATTTCACAATATTACCGTTTTACTGTGTTTTTGATCAAATAAATGTTCTGATTAGATCTGATTAATTTTCCTGATTGGTCAGATATTTGTTACCCATCTGTTTTCTTTTTAATTTGAGTTAAAGTTTTTGTAATTTTGGTGTGTGTTTAAGTCATTTTATTCGTTTTATTTTATTATTTTTTTAATACGGTTTTCATGAAATTTCAGTTTTAGTTTATTTAATTTATGCCATTTAAAACTTCCAATTAATCTAAACAAAAATAAGGAATGTTGCCTTGGCCACTCACTGAAATAAAATAAAATATAAAATAAAATGTAATACTTGTTTTATTTCAGTTAATGTCTATTTTATTTCAAGTAATAACATTTTTATGGTTTTAGTTTTAGTTAACAATAACAGCCCTGGTTAGAAGCATGTTCAGTTCGATTCAATTTATTATCGCATAGGAAAAGTGATTTTGCATTTATTTTCACGCAAGTATATACCATAAAAACACACACATGCTGCCATTAAACAGTATCACCAAAAAATGATTGCACATAAAAGCTTGTCTGTGATGCCTTAAATGCTAAATATGTAGGTAGCTTGCCAGGTTTGTCTATAGCTCTCAATGACACTGACTGAAAATGAGAGAATTAGAGCATGTGTGTGCAGCCGTCACAAACTGCAGAATCAAGTTTTTGATGGTTTGTGTTGACATGCTTTTTCAGGTGCATTACACAGGTTAGACTTATCTAGTAGAACTGCACTTCTCTAGTTACTCTGCTTTCCGTGTGGCAGGTGCGTGGATCCTGACAGGAGGGACACACGCCGGTGTGATGAAGCATGTGGGCATGGCCGTGCGAGATTACACACTCAGTAGCGGTTTGATGGAGGGACAGATCGTCGTCATCGGTGTGGCACCCTGGGGAGTCATTCACAACCGAAACGCACTCATCCATCCTGAGGTCAGATGATTCCCTCACCTGAACTACACGCCACATACAGTATGAACAACCCCAGATCATTTAAGCTATTGCTGTAGCTCAAAAAATAGAGCATGCCGATAACAACGCCAAGTTTATGGGTTTGATTCCCATGGAATGCATGAAGTAACAATGTGTTTACCTTGAATGCAATGTAAGTCGCTCTGGATAAAAGCATCTGCCAAATGCATAAATGTAATTATACATTTTTATACTTCAGAGATTCTCAAACTTTTTGTCGGCTGAACCCTTCGAGCTAAAATATTTACTTGATGTTCATTTTTCAATAATTTAAAAGCACATTTGCATGTTCGCAGTTTGCTGATGTTGGTTACATGGCAGAAAAACTAAATATTTCACCTCTTTTAGAAACTGTTTTATTATGATTGCTTTTATTTTAAAATTGTTTTAATTTTACATTTTTTGGTGATTTAATTATTAGCTTTTCATCAACTCACCGACCCTTTGCGGTTTCCTCACAAATCTTAGATTTTGAGTGATGATGCACTGTGTTTTGAATAGATTCATTGCAGTGAACAGGCTTGAAATTATTAACAGAAATCAGTCAAATTCACCAAATCTAATACTATTTTTGACATTAATCAGTTTGGGGTTAATGGTCACATGACAGGCAGGTAAACAAATAAAATATTTAATATTTTTTAGAAATTGTGCTTTTATTTTAAAATTATTTATTTACATTTTTATGATTTAATTAATTATTAGCTTTTTATCAACTCACAAACCCCAGTTTGGGATTTCCTGGTCAATGAGAGCATTTTTGTTTTTGCGTGATGATGCACAAGTTTTAAATCAAATCCGAAATCAAATTCACTAATTCTAATGCCATTTTTACTTGCGTTTAAATCTATTGAAGATCAATAATATTAATCAATATATTATTTTTAAAGTGATCATGCTCACAAAACAAATCTAATGCCACAAGCTTTGGGAAACTTAATAAGAAGTGCATTAAAATCACAAACAATGCAAATTACAGTACAATGTTGTTTAATTTAAAATCCCCATCTGTAGCATTGCAAATATATTATAAAGATGGTACTGCATGTTAAACCAGACCTACTTAATGTTTTTTACAGTAGCTATTATGTTGATAACTGCAGGCTGAAATTGATCCTATTATTGATTTTATAACAACAGCGTTTTCCGGGTTCTTGTCTTGTCTATTTTAGGGTTGTTTCCCTGCATACTACTCTCTGGACGAGCAGGGTCAGGGCCATCTCTCCTGTCTCGATATCAATCACACTCACTTCTTGCTGGTGGATGATGGCACTCACGGACATTATGGAGTTGAGATTGAGCTGCGGGCCCGTCTGGAGAAACTCATCTCTCAGCAATCGCTGGGAAATAGAGGTGCAGTGTTGAGGAAGCTTCACTAAATGCAGATTACTCCTAATTTAACAGAAATTGTTTTTGCAATCAGAGCAGTAATTATATGGCAAAATTTCAGCCAGGGAATATACAGGTAGGTCAAACTTTGTGTAAAAAGTACAGTACAGTAAAAAGTTTAGCAGTTTAGGGTTGGCGAGATGTTTTTTTAATGTTTTTAATGTCTTCTGCTCACCAAGGCTGCATTTATTTGGTTAAAAATAAAGTAAAAACTGTAATATTGTGAAATATTATTACAATTTAAAATAACTGTTTTCTATTTGAATATATAGTAAAATGTAATTTATTTCTGTGATCAAAGCTGTATTTTCAGCATCATTACTCCAGTCTTCAGTGTCACATGATCTTCAGAAATCATTCTAATATGCTGATTTGCTGCTCGAGAAACATTGCTGATTATTATCATTGTTGAAAACAGTTGTGATGCTTCATATTTTTGTGGAAACCGTGAAAATCTTATTTTTCAGGATTCACAGATGAACAGAGAGTTCAAAAGAACAGCGTTTATTTGAAACAGAAATCTTTTGTTGCATTATAAATGTCTTTACTGTCACTTTTCATTATTTAATACGTCCCTGCTAATTAAAAGTATTAATTTCTTTCAAACAGAAAAATCTTACTGACCCCAAACTTTTGAACTGTAATGTGTTTTGTAGAAATACAGGCAACCATACACATATGATCATAGAAAGGCTTGATAATAGCAAAAATTGTATGCATTATATGTATCTGCACAACAGTAAGAAATTATTGAAACTGAATACAATTAATGCATGAGGTAATTTTATCACTTTTAATTGGCATGTTTATTTATAGGCCTCTCTTGCCGCCTCTGATGGATTTCAATACAAAAAAGACTCTTTTTTTGAACCAATTCATTGGAATCAACGGTTCACTAAAATGAATCAGACTTTCTAGCTCTACTATAATGCTGTCACGTAACTTTAGTTAGTTACTCCGTATCACATTAGAGATGAATAGTAAACAGACAGACAAAATCAGAGGTCAGCAGACGACCTTTGCCTGACCTTTCAGACCGACAACAGCTTTCATAAACACAAAGGGAGACAGACGTTTGCTTGCGTGATTCATTTTTGACAATTGTAAAGGCCACATGAAATGTTTGAAAAAAGCAGGTTTCTGTCCTGTGTGGATGTATTTCCTGTTGATACAGGAACTTTAATCAGGACATATCAAACAGATCATACTGTTTTTTTTTTAAATTAGCCTTTAATTTGAGCACAAATCTGCATAGTGCAACAAAAACTTACAGTAAACTAGCATACAGATGTCCTCAAAACTACAGCTAAAAGCCACAGAATTTGGATTTCATGGCTCTTTAACATTGTTCATTGGTCGCTTATTATTTGTGAAGTGTGTTTTGTGTTTATCTTTGCACCAGAGAGTGGAGTGACGATACCGGTGGTCTGTGTGGTCTTGGATGGCGGTCCAGGAACGCTAAACGTGAGATTTTAAAGTCATCCGTTTCATAGATCACAGTGAAACGTTCTTTCATTAAGCCTAATTCACATGGTTATTCACAGACCATCTATAATGCGATGCTGAACCACACGCCGTGTGTGGTGCTGGAGGGCTCTGGACGCCTGGCGGACGTCATCGCTCAGGTGGCGGCTCTGCCCGTGTCAAAGGTCACTCTGGTCCTTATCAACCAGCTCATGAAGAGGTTTTTTGTACAAGAGTACAAAAGCTTTACTGAGGTGCAGGTCATTGAGTGGACCAAGAAGGTAACGGACAAAAACATACATTTAATAAGTTACAGTACACAAAAAGACTCTTTTGATGGATGGTACTTTTTAAAAAATGTTTTTGAAAAAAGCCTCTTCTGCTCACCAAGGCTGCATTTATTTGATTAAAAATACAGTGAAAATTGTGAAATAGTATTACAATTTAAAATAACTGTTTACTATGTGAAAATATAGTGAAATGTAATTTATTTCTGTGATCAAAGCTGAATTTTCAGCATCATTATTGAAACTGAATACAATTAATGCATGAGGTAATTTTATCACTTTTAATTGGCATGTTTATTTATAGGCCTCTCTTGCCGCCTCTGATGGATTTCAATACAAAAAAGACTCTTTTTTTGAACCAATTCATTGGAATCAACGGTTCACTAAAATGAATCAGACTTTCTAGCTCTACTATAATGCTGTCACGTAACTTTAGTTAGTTACTCCGTATCACATTAGAGATGAATAGTAAACAGACAGACAAAATCAGAGGTCAGCAGACGACCTTTGCCTGACCTTTCAGACCGACAACAGCTTTCATAAACACAAAGGGAGACAGACGTTTGCTTGCGTGATTCATTTTTGACAATTGTAAAGGCCACATGAAATGTTTGAAAAAAGCAGGTTTCTGTCCTGTGTGGATGTATTTCCTGTTGATACAGGAACTTTAATCAGGACATATCAAACAGATCATACTGTTTTTTTTTTAAATTAGCCTTTAATTTGAGCACAAATCTGCATAGTGCAACAAAAACTTACAGTAAACTAGCATACAGATGTCCTCAAAACTACAGCTAAAAGCCACAGAATTTGGATTTCATGGCTCTTTAACATTGTTCATTGGTCGCTTATTATTTGTGAAGTGTGTTTTGTGTTTATCTTTGCACCAGAGAGTGGAGTGACGATACCGGTGGTCTGTGTGGTCTTGGATGGCGGTCCAGGAACGCTAAACGTGAGATTTTAAAGTCATCCGTTTCATAGATCACAGTGAAACGTTCTTTCATTAAGCCTAATTCACATGGTTATTCACAGACCATCTATAATGCGATGCTGAACCACACGCCGTGTGTGGTGCTGGAGGGCTCTGGACGCCTGGCGGACGTCATCGCTCAGGTGGCGGCTCTGCCCGTGTCAAAGGTCACTCTGGTCCTTATCAACCAGCTCATGAAGAGGTTTTTTGTACAAGAGTACAAAAGCTTTACTGAGGTGCAGGTCATTGAGTGGACCAAGAAGGTAACGGACAAAAACATACATTTAATAAGTTACAGTACACAAAAAGACTCTTTTGATGGATGGTACTTTTTAAAAAATGTTTTTGAAAAAAGCCTCTTCTGCTCACCAAGGCTGCATTTATTTGATTAAAAATACAGTGAAAATTGTGAAATAGTATTACAATTTAAAATAACTGTTTACTATGTGAAAATATAGTGAAATGTAATTTATTTCTGTGATCAAAGCTGAATTTTCAGCATCATTACTCCAGTCTTCAGTGTCACATGATCTTCAGAAATCATTCTAATACACTGATTTCTGATTATTATCAATATTGAAAACAATTTTTGTGGAAACCGTGATACATTTATTTCAAGAGTCTTTGATGAACAGAAAGTTCAAAAGAACAGCATTTATTTGAAATAGAAATCTTTATCAACATTATAAATGACTTTACTGTCACTTTTGATCAAATTAATGCGTCCTTGTTAAATAGAAGTATTAATTTAAGAAAAAAAAAAATCTAATTTACTGACCCCAAACTTTTGAATGGAAGTGTACATTGTAGTCTGATTCATGAACCAATGAGCCAAATGTTTAATGAATATATAATATAAAATATAATTTAATGAAAGCAGAATTAATGATAGCAGAATATATATATATATATATATACACATACACACACACACACAAAATATAAGTATATAGTATGTGAAATATAAGCGATCTCAGAAGAGTTGAATAAGATGTATCTTAAGCAGTGAATATTTGTTTTTATGTATATTTTTGTCTTTCTTTAGATTCAGGACATCATCCGAATGCCTCATTTGCTCACTGTGTTTCATATCGACGAGGATAAAAACTACGATGTTGACGTTGCCATTCTACAGGCTCTACTGAAAGGTGCGAGTCCATATCACTTTTCAGACAGCACATGGTCAAGTCTCTGCTTTTCTTAATCTGAAATTTGATTACTTAAATTAGTTTTTCCGGGCAGAGCCTAATTGTGTTGTGCCGGTAATGGTTGGGTAACTAATGGCAGCTGAGAGTAGGGTTGGGTACCGTTCACATTTTAACCGGTACGGTACCGGTATCGGTACTTGAATTTCGGTGTCGGTACCCAACGGTACTTTTTCGGTACTTTACTCTCTGTGTAATTACAAAAACATTTATTTCAGTGAAAAAATAAGTCCAAAAGTCTCAATT